GAGATAAGAAAAGTAGAATCCTGTTTGGAGATTCTTACCTTAAACGTTATCGCGTTTTTCAAAGTTGTTGTCGCTAATTGATGATCTTTGTAACCGGTGGCGCAGACAGGGAACGTTTGCGATGCGTCGAGTTTCGCTCTCTAACCAAACGCTTTCTCCATGAACGAGGTTACTCTGCGCGTTCACCGATGCCATTCCTATCTTATATAGACGTCCCTTTCGAAGATGCTGAGAGCCAAGCAAAAGGAAGACTTACGGTGGGGAACTTACACCTGTGACTCATAGCAGCCGGACATCCTTTTTGGATAGGTTCCTCGAAGTTCCACGCGTTGTGTACTTTTGTATCGAACGCTCGTGTAAAATTCGCGCCATACCACGCGATTGGCTAATCGAGTCGCGTCGCATTCTATGATTTTTTTCTCTTCAACTTTCCACGCATGATCACGCTTTGAACGAACTTTCTATCAAAGGAAGGGTAGAAACGAAAGAAAACGAAAAGTCAGCAAACTTCCATGAATTTCCCTGCTCGATGATGATCCTGTCCATAGAGATGATGTCTGCATATTGACAGTTTTGCCACTCTTTCATCGTGATAGTCAATCGTGATAGATTGTCAATAAAAAGGAGAAAAAAAGAAAAGAAAAGAGAGAAAGAAGAAGCAGCGATAGATAAAAATTTATGGATCGAATGACGCGGCAGCGGGTCAGCGTAGGTGCGTACAGATCTACGCAAGCACATTGTGCAACGCGCGGATTTTCGTTAACGTGCTTACATAACGTCGACCACCGAGCGTCCTCGTTTAAAAACAAACCGACCTTAGATTGGTAGTATTCGATCGACAAGTTGGAAATATAATAACGTTTTAACAATTTTATTATTAAAGTAAGATTATTTAACAATTACGCGACAACCTCATTATTAACGTTGGAATATTAAAGAATCTTATGGCAGCAGGTATCAACCGAATTTGACTCGGTTTTCATTTTTAAACTCAACTCGTTGTGTTACAAGAGTCGGCAGGAAATCACGGATCGCGTTGCGGTTACAAGAAAGTTGATGGTTTCTCTCTGCTATCCCGCTACAATGGGAAAGTAAAGGAAAGAACCGCTGGTCTAGCTTTAAAGCGTTCCGTGTTTGGATGCTTCGACCTTTCCATACGTTTCCCGAATAAAATTTTTTTTTTTTTTTT